CACCAAGTCGGGTGATAGCCTGTAAATATTATACTTTATTAGTGGCATCAATGTTCAGAATAAAAATGCTTATTTCTCAAGTACACTAGGACATTGGTTACTGAAGCTAAGTAACACATTTAACTCTTCAGTTCAAGACAAATGACAAGACAAAACTCACAGGTAACTGGTCTGTGAGTTTCCTTTGACATTTGATCACCTACCATACTGTAAAAGCTGCGCCGGTAAACCAGAAACGGATCCGCGCACAGAATTTGAGCGACCACAGATTAATCACCAAGCAGATTTATTAATAAGGGAAATATTTAAAATGACAGGAAACAACAACATGTGGAAGTTTCGTTCTTTTCCCCTTCTCTCTCTCTAACGCAGAGGGGGGAGCAGCGGAGGGGCTGTGTGTGTGTGTGTGTGTGTGTGTGTGTGTGTGTGTGTGTGTGTGTGCGTGTGTCAGGTTTCACTCAGTACAGTGAATGCCAGCAGGGAGATTAGGGCTGCAAAGCGTTCCATGAAGTCTGACTAAAGCATCTCCCTCTGCCCTGCGTCGGCTCTTCAAAGGGAGTAAAATGCTCCGATAAAGATTCAACCATTTAAAATGTTTGTCTCTTAATGTCTCGGTTATACTTTTTGTTCTTTACTGGTAAACTTGAAAATAAGTTATTTACCTAGATTTTTTTGAAATATCTATAATATTTATCAGCACTTAAACTGTATTCATTCTTACACGTTTTTGACTTGTTTGTTCCTAAAACTGCAGTCTGTTCTCATAATTAGAAAACTGCTAGTGATAAATGTTTCTGTGCTCTCCAGTAGCTTCATCGGTTGTGAACTGAACTTCAAAGAGGAGTTGGCATAYATGGGCAGGAGGGTGGGGGTCAGAGGGTGTGTGTGTGTGTGCGTGTGTGAGGAGGGGGTCAACAGCTGCCGCTGAGGTCATTCAGGCAAGCAGCTGCTGYCCACCTCCACCCCCACCTCCCTCATTCACTGTCCCTTTTCATTCACCTCGCATAGAAATGCACAGACGTGAAGCTTTTCTCTCTCACCTGCCTATAAAATTCACTTAAACAAGCATTGTTACTGTTAAATGGTTTATCAGAAGTTCTTGCTGCAGGGAGAAATCTCTGTCTGCCAGTTAACAAAAAAACAACACAATCCGTTTCATCCCGGAGATCATTAACAGGCCGCTGAGCTGAGTTCCATCGTCTTCATTAACATGTAGAAC